TGGGTACCCTTAGTTTCAAGAATATTTGCCATTGTTTAAATACCTATCACTGTGGTAGAGCTTGCATCGATTCTTTCCCACAGGTATTCAACTGCCAAGATGTGAATATGCAAAGCCCTTATGAATCTATAATAATGGTACTTCAACTGGGAAGAGTGTAATATTTTGGACTGCTGCTTTTCTTTTCCATTAATGAGAGCAACAGGCCCCTGATAACAGTTCCAAAGTACTAAGATGTTAATTATAACTCAGCCAGTAAGTACATGTCTCCTTTGGGGAGGATTTGGTGTAATAGACACCAAACTGCTAGCCTAGTATTACGGAGATGAACACGACGTAACTTGTAATAGCAGAATAGTTTATGAAGTTAGTTCCTGTAACATCTTTATTTAAAAGCTTAGCCTGCCTTAAAGCTAGAGATCAAACTTTCTCAGCTGCAGAAGCTTCTAGCCTTTCAAAAAAAAAAGTTCATACTTTATAAAATTGCACAGAGCAATTTATTTTCCAGACCTTTTCCCCACATTACTCCCCAATTATACCCCACATTACTCCCCAATTATAAAGTATTCCTATGTTGCTTTAGTATTTATTACAATTTTAAAAAAGGGTTTGAAATATAGCTGTTCTTTAGGCATAAAATACCCAGCTAGGACTGTAACTGCCAGAGAGAAGAATTTTATTGAATGGCCATCTCCCTACCTAAAAGATGTTTCAGTCTGAATTTATTTGGCTACACTGAAGAATGCAGTATATTTAGTTTTCCATTTGCATGATGTGTGTTTGTGCTATAGATGATATTTTAAATTGAAAAATTTGTTTTAAATTATTTTTACAGTGAAGACTGTTTTCAGCTCTTTTTATATTGTACATAGTCTTTTATGTAATCTACTGGCATATGTTTTGTAGACTGTTTAATGACTGGATATCTTCCTCCAACTTTTGAAATACAAAACCAGTGTTTTATACTTGTACACTGTTTTAAAGTCTATTAAAATTGTCATTTGGCTTTTTTCTGTTAACTTACATTGTTTGAGATATAAAGTTTAAGTCTTACAGAATCTGTATAGTTCTGAGGGCCATGTGAAGATGCTTTCTTCTCACATTTCTTCATTCACCTTACAAGAGTAACTAGAATGCTACTGAAGCAAACACTGGTAATGCTGGTTGTAGCATCACCACCAAAAGTTTCAAAACTAGTATTTTAGTTCTAGGCCCAGTAGCCTAAAACTTAGGTGAAAGGTGGGAGAGAGAAACAAGGCAGGGCCTAAGAACTTCACCTATGAAAGACTTGACATAGGCTTAGGACTTCTTTTGGGATTAGGGGGACAGTAGAGAATAGTGGAAATGTGAACTTGAGTATATTTGCTATAAAAGCCAGGTTATCTGTGAAGCACAGGTTAACACAAGTCTTAACATAGGAGCGTGTGCACAAAAAATGACTGCAGACTGTAGTCCAAGTTCTTGAGGGACAAAGTACAACAAGAAGCCAGAAACATGCCCCTCAGAAAATGTGATGAATAAAGCCTTGACTGGCAGTTTCCTGCTCTCAGGTCTCCTGCCTTCCTCACCAGCAAACTTTCAAAGTGAACTTAAAATACTACTCTGTCCTGGTATGTCCTGTTTGCACTAGAAAAGTTACCTTTAAAATCTCCTCCTCAGATGTAAGGAAACAGCAACTTGAATTCTATATATGCACAAAATGGGAAGGTAGTTCACACCTTAAAAAGTGGTTGTGTGGTCAAGTACTTATGCTAAGTATGTTTAGACAACAGCTAATTTTAAGCCTTGTATTCAATACTATTCCAGGTCTCCTTGGTTAATGCAGTATAATTTCACTGGTTGTACTACCCTAATTGACACATGATGGTTTAATTAGCATTGTTCTTCATGGTTTCTAAAATAATGGGGTGCCTTCAATCAATGGCTTCATCATCCATTACTAAGCATTATTTGGGAAGTTTTATTCTTTATTTTTTTTAATTTTTTTTTTAATGTTTTATTTATTTCTAGGAGAGCGAGAGAGACAGCGTGAGCAGGGGAGGGCCAGAGAGAGAGAGGGAGTCACAGACTGAAGCAGGCTCCAGGCTCTGAGCTGCCAGTCAGCACAGAGCCCGACGCGGGGCTCGAACCCACCAACCGCGAGATCATGACCTAAGCGAAAGTCGGACGCTTAACCGACTAAGCCACCCAGGCGCCCCATGGGAAGTTTTATTTGAAAGCATTCTTAATTCCTGGACTTGTAACCTAGAAGGGGAGTGTGTGTATGCACACCCTGACCTTTCCTCTCCTCTGAAATGAACAGTCTAAAGCCTTAAGCTAGGATGCTAGCAGAAATATGGAAAAATGGTCAAATAACATGTATATATGTATGTATGTAACCTGGACATCAGCTCCATTTAATTGGCAAAAAGACCTGTGCATAGCATTATTTTTAAAAAGTACCCCCACGGGTACCTGGGTGGCTCATTCAGTTAAGCATCCAACTTTAGCTCAGGTGGCGATCTCATGGTTCGTGGGTTTGAGCCCCCCATTGGACTCGCTGCTGTCAGTACAGTCCGCCTCGGATCATCTGTCTCCCTCTCTCTGTGCCCCTCCCCTGATCAGGCTCTCTTCCCTCTCTCAAAAATAAACATTAAAAAGTACCCCCCGGTGATTCAAAGTATAGCAAGGCTTGAGAAAGGAAAAATTGGGGGGGTTCCCTTCTGCATTTAACACTCCATTCCAGGAGGGCTTGGCCTCACCGGGAAGGAGCAGACTTTAATGAAACAAGCTGACTTCTCAATTTCTCTCTAGAGGTAGTAGTTCACCAATTAGCAAACACTAGCAAGTATAAGGAGCTATCGAAATACGGTGAATTCCTTAGTAAAGAAACTACCATAGGGAATATGGATGGCCAATGTGCACCAGAGGATGGGCAGTTGGGAAGTAGCTGAGAACAGGAACACCTGCCCTTGCTCAGCTAGGCACACACTCCTCAGGGGAAGACCGCCCTATTACACTTTGGGGACTTTTTGTTAAACTAAATGCAGTAAAAACCAAATGTAAGAAAGGCCAAAATTCTGTTAGCAGAAATTAGCCCTAATGAGTGCTTCTTATGAGTGGACCCTAGAAGAATGCCATGACAACTGAAGTCTCCAGTTTTAAAAACTGCATTCTGGCTTTACTTCATGCAATGTGTGTCTTGGTTCTACCACTACAGTCAGTCTGAAAAATGGCTATTGGTTAATTAAAATCACTACTGAATCCAGACAGGAGCTACAAACAGTTACTCTTAAGAATAGATCTATATGGAGGCCAAATATTTTAAAGTTCAGTCAATTCCATAATTACAGTCCTTATAATTTAGTGAACTCTGTAAATGCCCACTTTCTAATCTACAAAGCTCATGGTATTTTTTAAAAAGCAAATAGCAATTTGAAAAACCTTAAATGGTATTTTCATTTTCTACCATTAATCTCCCTGCCATTAATGCTACTTACTGTATGTCTGCAGCAACACAGGAAGGAAAAGAGTATCAGACTTACCCAATTTAAACCTTGTACTGTTGTGCATGCGCCTAGATAAGACGCCAGGTCCTTGTTAAAATATTTGTTCAATGAACTCCATCTGTATTAGGCCAAAGTGGCTGCTATTTTACAGATCAGCTACATATCATAGAAATTACTGAAGAAAAAAAAATCACTTGACACATACACCTAAGGTGTGTTCAATGTGAACAATCACTACCCTCAAGAAATGGACACACACTGGGGGTGCCTGGGTGGCTCAGTCAGTTAAGGCATCTGACTTAGGGTCATGATCCCATGGTTTGTGAATTCAAGCCCCCCATCGGGATTTCTGCTGAGCCCGCTTCGAATCCTCTGTCCTCCTCTCTGCCCCTCTCTCCCTCCCTCCCTCACGCTCTTGTCTCTTTGACAGGGAAGAGTGCTACTTTGAGGTAAATTATCATATATGAACATGCTGTTTAAGGGCTATTTATAAAAAGACACCTATGGCTTAACAGTAAAGTACAGGTCCACAATCCCTTCTCCAAACCCTTGAACTCATTTGTATTTTGGAATTATGAATGTTAAAGCATTCTTAAAGCACCCCAGAGGGGTCTGAGGTAGCACCTAAGATCAAACACATTGAGTAATCAAACCTATTAATATCACCATAGTAAAATACACAAACACTCCCACTTAATAAATAGCCTCAACAATTCAAATCAAATTTTGCTGCAAAATGAGATATGCAATTTTTTTCAGAGTTGTTTTGGATTTTGGAATTACAGCTAAGAAAATTGGAGACTTCTGTAAAACACAAATTTTGTATGTGAATGGTAACAATCCAAAATTTTTTTTAAAGACTTTTTTTCCTTGAGACATTTCGAATGTTATGAGAACCACTGAAAGGTTAAATATTAAACCAATAAATCTTTATTACTTAAACAATTTTCACGGCATTTTTTAAAATAAATTTAAAAAATAAATATTTGCATTATAGCAGAAAGTCACATGTGTTGTTGCATCAACTCACTGTTACAGTTAATCACAGGAGATAACTAAGCATCAGCACCATAAAACCGTGTTAAGATCTGTTTCTAAAAATTCAAGGAAAGAGTTCTAAAGCACTGAAAATTCTGACTAAATATCAAGCTGTAGCATATCAAAAGTTCTGATATAGCCCAGTAGTTGTTGGTTCTCAAAGTAGCCAGGTTCTATTCCTGGCAATTACAGGACAAAGTTCTTCCAACACTAAATACATATTAAGCTTCCTGATTAAGCTCCCCTTTATCAGAAGCATCTCCAGATTCAAAAAAGGAAAGAACTACAAGTTATTTAGATAACTCCTATCTGTGATTTAGTTTTGCACAAGGACATTTATTCTAGTTAAAAAGCAAAGACTGTGTTTCATCATGCTAATTTTTTGCTTTTATAGATTCTCAGAATAAGATTTAATCATAATTGTTAATCCTTTTAAACGTCAGCTCAGTTCAATTACAACCATAGAAACTGTACTGGTATCAGAACATAACTATTTTATTACAAAACTTAACATTATTTACAAAATGAAAAAATAATTGGATGACTATTGCAGGCCAAAGGTAAAGATTTTTCACTCAGTGATTGAAGAAAAATTAAGCAACATTTCCATGCACTCACACACCAGATCATTTGTGAAATATGCAAACCCTTAAAATTCATGTTAGTAAAACTTTGATGTATTCACAATGCTTGTATGTTTATTGGAAGATGGCAAAAAAAAACCCATGGTTCTGTACAATAAGTTTAATATTAACAGTTTGTTCATTTTCCTTTTAATATTTTTTGGCTTTCATGAATACTCATAGCACTGAACATTTTGCAAGTAAGAATTATAACAGTACCTCCTGTCACCTTGTTGAATCCATCACCACAAGAAAAACACAAATAATTAGTTTAATGCTTCTGCAATAAACTGATCAGTTCTATTTCCAAAGTTATATTAAACTGAAGCCTTCATTATGATCAATTGCTTGAATCAGTTTAGAGCGTAGAGTTTCTTTTTCTGTATATTTTGGAAGATCCAGAAGATTAAAACAGGTATGGGAAACTGGGAGATATTCCTCGCCACCTCCTGTTGACTGGATGACTAGTTTTAAACTCTTCATACCAAGAATAGGAATGCGATCACTACCTGTCAAAAATACTACCAAGAAAAAAAAATCATTCAGCCAACCACTTTCATCAAAACAATATAGAGAGTACTAAGTTATTTGGTACAGTTACTATGGAGAACTTTACATTAACATTTGCTCTAATGTGGAAGCCAATCTCCAGAATTTATGGTAGCATGATTTTTGAGCCCAATACATTACACATCCACACAATATTTTTTCTTTAAAAATGTAATCCTGGGGCACCTGGGTGGTCAGCTCAAATCATGATCCCATGGTTCATGAGTTTGAGCCCTTCATCAGGCTCTCTGCTGTCAGTGCAGAGCCTGCTTTGGATCCTCTATCCTCCTCTCTGTGCCCCTCCCCCACTTGCCTACACTCTCAAAAATAAGTAGCTTTTTAAAAGTATAATCTTGGGACACCCTGAGTGGTTCAGCTGGTTAAGCATCCTACTCTTGGTTTTGACTCAGATCATGATCTCACTGTTTGTGAGTTCAAGCCCTGCACGGGCTCTTGTGTAGAGCCTGCCTCTTTGTTCTTCTCCAACTTGTGTTATCACTTGAGAACCGCTTGTCAACCTTAAAATATACAAAATTTTACCAAAATTCTCATTTCAACTATCAAAAAGAGATTGACAAAATATTCTTGGCAATAGCGGGAGTTTCAAAGGGAATACCAACTTCAATTAGAATAAAACAACACATGAAAGACACATAGAGCTTAGGTTATAAAAAAGTACTACATCCTGGAAAAGTTCTATTTTCTACAGGAATTCCCAAAGTTTTGATATGTAAGCAAAAAGAAAAAAAATGAAGACAATGAAAAAACAAGCTATCCTCTAGAAACCTTTTAGAAATTCTAAAAGGAATTACAGCCCCAGTTTATTGTAATCATTTACAGTTTTTTTCATAAGAAAGAATCCATTCTATTTTGGAAGCAAACTGAATGTAGCTTTCAAAGCAAGAAAGGTCATGTAATGAACGCAGGTCAAAAATTTACTCTAATTGAAAATTAAAAGCAGTACCTTGGAATAATACTAAGAGGAAAAATTTTATCCAACAAAGTGAATCAATTACTGTATGAAAATAAGTTTAACAGTTAATTCTATTTCCTATAGAACATAGGACTAGTCAGTAATACTTACACAGAAATTGTTTTTTCTTTTCCAACGGCAATTCATGAAATACTTCCCAAAACATTTTTATCGTTGGATGTTCTGCCCAATACTCCCCTTTGTATTCAGTATTCTAAAAACAACATAATCTTCATTAATATTAAAGGATGTTAGTTTTGTCTTGAATCTGACAGACTTGCCTCCTTATTAGCACAAAAGCTAACACTGTCCAGGATTTTGAAACTTGTGCAATTCAACTGATTACCTCCTATTTCCTAGGCATTTTGCAATAGTTCTAGGGAAAGGCAAGAAAATGTTCCAATCAGCGGAAATGTCTCCCTGCCACTTCAAGGAACACAACAGGGTTGTAGTATCTTCAAAAGTAAATACCTAAAGGATAAACTAGAATTACCAAAATGTTAATGGATTATTAAAGTTCAACCAAGAATTAGTTATCTGTGATAATTATAACATTCTTTTCCTATACTCATGAGCAGGAATCAATTATTTTACATTCTATCTTTTCTTTAAAAAAAAAAAAAGTACTAAGAACAGTAATTTTCTGTGGGAGTCAGTTTCCACAATGGCTCCCAATGATCTCTGCCTCCTGTTCTTCATGCCCTTGTGTAGTCCTCTCCCACAGTGTATGGGCCTGACTCTGTAATCATTAGGATACTGCATGTATGAGAAACACATGCCTTCTGGGGCTAGATCATAAAACACTGTGTGGCTGCAATCTTTTTTCGATTATTCACTCTGGGGAGTGCCAGGTGTGAGGATACTCAAAGAGCCCTATGGATAAGTCTTCGTGGTGAGACACTAGGACTAGCCAACAGTCTTGTGAGTGAGCCATCTTGAAAGAGAATCTATCTTTAATCACGCTTTCAGATGACTAAAGCACCAATCAATATCGTAACTGTATGCAACCTCATGAGAGATGTCTAAGCTAAAAGCATCCACGTAAAGCCATTTTGAATTCCTGACCCACAGAAAATAATGTGAGAAAATAAATGTTCACTGTTACTTTTAAGCCACTAAATTTTGGGGTCATCTGTACCAATAGAGCTAATATCCTTCTCCTTTTAAAAAAATGCTAGTACTGGAGCCTCCGGGTGGCCCAAAGGACTGAGTGTCTGACTCTGAATTTCAACTCAGGTCATGATCTCACAGTTCATGAGATCAAGCCCCTCATCAGACTCTGCAATGACAGAGCAGAGCCTGTTTGGGACTCTCTCTCTTTCCCACTCTCTCCCTCCCTCCCCGGCTAGTGTGCTCTCTCTCTCTTAAAAAAAAAAAAAAAAAATAAGTACCAGCACTAACAGAAAAAGGGGGTTAGGGAGAAGAGGGAGGAGAGAGTGATTTCTTTTTTGGGGGTGGGGTGGGGAGGGTAGACAGAATCTGAAGCACGCTGCAGGCACTGAGCTGTCAGCACAGAGCCTGACGCAGGGCTCAAACTCCCAGACTACGAGATCATGACCTGAGCCCAAGTCAGACACCCAACCGACTGAGCCACTCAGGTGCCCCTGAGAGGGAGTTAATATTAAACTGTAAAGTGTTTTTAAAATCTAGCCACAGTTGGCCTTAACTTTTAGTTCTTAGCAAGAATCTTCCAGCATCAGGGTGTTTGGACATACTGTTCCTTCAGCCTAGACCACTGAGATACATCCTCCTGTTCTCTTTGTTCATCAGGCTAATTTCTATTTACCCTTTAGGACTCAGATTAAATGTCACCAAATTCAGTGATTCATTCAACATATACATAGAGTTTCAGCCAAAATTTGGAGCCTTGGGGAAACTACAGTGACTCAAGTCCTTACTTACCTTGTATACAGCATGACTACCATCTACTGAGATGCTTTCCCAGATATGTATAGCGCAGGTTAAGTTCTTCCTTCTATACCATTCACTGAGCTCTTCCTTAGATTCAACAGAGTTAACTAACTTAATGTCCACTTTCCTTATTACAAGGCAAAGTCCATGTCTCCATCTTATTTACTGATATCTCCCTCATCTCTTGCATAGTATTAAGTATCCCTAAGGGCTCAACTAGTATTTACTAATGGTCTTCTTAAATTTTGGGCTCTATTTGTAGCCATGATTATCTCAGTGACTGAACTCTTGAAGTCTACATGGTATTTTCTATTTACCTGTAAACAGGTTTGGAGAAAATGGCTGAAAATCTAGCAACCAATTAATAGATTAATGAGTATGAATTATAGTCTATGAGCATGTTAGTGGGAATGAAAAAAAACATGGCTCAAGTTTTTGCTTTTATCCTTCTTTTTAATTAAAAAACCTCTAAACGGTTCTGGGGAATGTGTACACAGTTCTGATGAAGAAAACATTTCAAGTCACAAATACTAGTCACTGTAATTATACTGAATCAAATATACAGTGGAAGAAACCAAAGCATACTAAGTACACTAAAATATACTAAAAGAGCTATCTTACTAAATGAATATTCTATCAACTGTATCTTCAGATACGGTTTAAGTACTTACTGAGTGCTCTAGGCTCTGGAAATATAGCAGTGAACAGACAGACAAAAACCTTGCTTTCATGGTGCTTACATTGTTGTGTTTGTGGGGGGGGGAAGCATCAGCAACAGATAGTAAAGACAATTAAGTAAAATTCATATTAAGTCAAATTCAAAGAGAAAATAAAGCAGGAAGAGTGACAGGGTGTGGGAATGGGTGTGTGTGCACACATCCAATTTTAGGTAAGTTAGTCAGTAAAGGTCTCTGAGAAGGTATAAAGACATGAAGTAAGAGCAAGAAGCATTTGAAATTATCAAGGTGAAAAGAGTTCCAGGCACAGGGAATAGCTAAATAGAAAGTCCTCAAGACTGGTTCAGCAAAGAGGCCATAAAGGCTGAAGCAATGTAAGTGAAAGGAATAACATGAGATGGAGCAAAAAGGACAAATCATGTGGGATGCAAAGTGCGATTGGAGGCCATTACATCCTTTTCCTTTTAGGATGACTGGAGGTGAAGTCCTCTTCCACTGGGGCCTCCTTGAAGTCAGTACAGCTTTCTTCTCTTTAGGAGATCAATTTACCCCCCAAAATAAATCTTCAATCTCCTTCCTGGAGGATTTGGATTTGCCTACCAACTTTCCTCAGTTCCACCTGATTGTGTGTCGCATTCTCTAGAGTTGTCTCCCGGGTAGGAGAGAGAAGCTGAGGGGTCTACAATTCTTTAAATTAGCTTTGAAGTAACTCTATTGCTTTTAGCCTAACCACACAATCTGCCACTACAGTAACACAATGTACCAATTCCTGAGCCTTTTAAAATTTCTATGGTGTGAAATGAGTTGTGTCTTAAAACCTTTGTCCCTCAGGAGGCTCAGAATTCAATTTTCTTTGCTCTTATCAACTCATCCACATATTTTCCATCTGCCAAAACTATTTTCTTCTCTCTTTTGTCTGTGTATTCCTATATTTATTCCTTTATTGTCATTCTAATTACGTTTTGGAAAAGAGCAAATATATATTTATTGTAGTATGTTCAACCAGAAGTCCTAACTATTCTTAAAATTAAAAAATTTACTCCCTAAATTATTACACAGTAAAATTGACTTTTTTTCTGGTGTGGGTATAGTTCTATGTATAGACTTGTGTACCCACCACCACAATCAGTATACTGAACACTTTCATCAACCAAGAACTCTCCTGCACTACTCTCTGCCGTCACATACCCAGTTCACCATAGTTTTGTCTTTTCAAATATGTCACATACATGGAATCATATGGTAGGTAATCCTTGAGACTGGCTTCTTCACTCTGCATAAGGATCTAAGTGTCATCCCAGTTGCTGCACGTATCAGTAGTGCATCCCTTTTTATTGCCCAGTAGTATTCTACTGTATGAATGTATCTTAGGTTGCTTTATCTATTCACTCACTGAAGGACATCTGGGCTGTTTGTAGTTTTTGACATGTCTGCAGAATTTTAAAACCGTAATTTAAACTGTGGTTAAATACCTATCACAAAATATATCATCTTAACCCCCTTTTTTCTTAAGTGTACAGTTTGGTGGTGTGAAGTACATTCATACTGTTACCCAACCATTATCACCATTCATCTCTAGAACAAATTTTGCTAAATTGAAACTCTTCACTCATTAAACAGTAACATCCCATTCACCCTTATTTAGAGATTTTGTGTGAATATAATTTAATACTTTGGAGTGGAACTGCTAGTCACGTAGTAAGTGACAAACTCTTTCCAAAGTAGCTATACCATCTATATTTCCACCAGCAATGCATGAAAGTTACCAATGCTTTGTATCCTTGTGAAACTTGGTACTGTATTTGTTAAATGTTAGCTAACTTAAGGGGCACCTGGCTGGCTTAGTCGGTTAAGCATCCGACTTTCGCTTAGGTCATGATCTCGCGGTTCGTGGGTTCGAGCCCCGCGTCAGGCTCTGTGCTGACTGCCAGCTCAGAGCCTGGAGGCTGCTGCAGATTCTGTGTCTCCCTCTTTCTCTGACCCTCCCCTGCTCACGCTGTCTCTCTCTCTCTCTCCCCTAGAAATAAATAAAACATTAAAAAAAATTTTTTTAAAAATGTTAGCTAACTTAATAGGTACACAGTGTCAAACTATTAATGCAAAAACTATCAGAGATTGCTGGATTACAAAGATGGAAAAATTTATAAGTCAAACTTGCACAGATCTTTCTCAAAGCTGATCTAACCTAGCACTTTTTATTCAATGTTTATCTGAAGAAATAGCTGAGAATTATTTGTATAGAGAAGAAAAAAGTTGTTTAAAAATTCCCAATCTTCTCCCCAAAAATCCCTTTATTGGCTAACACTAATAATGGAGATCATAAATACTATTTATTCTCTGCTAAAAAATTTAGTATTGAGAGTAATCAGAAGAAAAAAAACAAAGGTGTTATGTAATGTAAATATTTTTCATAATGGTTTTCCTATGATTGGGCAGAATGAAAACTCAGTTTTAGCTGGGACTTCTATCTGACCTCTGTCATAAATGACATTTTTCCATATGAAAACTACCAATACCACAAATACAAAAATGCTATCTAATTCATATACAACTAAAATTCATTCATTGTGGAGTAGGAAATGTACAGTGCTTTCCTATAAATATGAAAGTAATAAATATTGTAAAATGGAAAATAAAAAGGGCGATTTTTCTATCAATAAACCATATTTTCTTTTTGCTTTTCCATCAAAACAATTTCATAGATTTGTTTTCACCTACCTTTTCCAGTTCCTTCCAATCATAATTTGTATTTCCAATAACCATTGCCTGTAGTTCATTTGGCTGGAAAAGCTGAAGGACCTTTCCTCCACAGACCTTATGAAAGCCCGCGTGAAAAGCATCAAACAAGGAAGCCACTGATTTATTGAATATGTAATCCACATAAGCATCAACAAACTCTTGCCTAGAAATGAAAAGGCACACATGGCACAGAATATAAAAATAATTTTTTATGGAGAATAGATATGTAGTCTTATTAAAAGTTTGAATGCTCCTGTACTTTTTGCTACTTATCTATAAAAGTGAGAAAGTATGAGCAGGATTCTAAGTGGACAAAGCCTTTTCTTTTTTAAATGTTTATTTTTGAGAGAGAGAGACAGAGCATGAGTGGGGGAGGGGCAGAGAGACAGAGGGAGACACAGAATCTGAAGCAGGTTCCAGGCTCTGAGCTGTCAGTACAGGAGCCCAACATGGGACTCAAACCCATGAACCACGAGGTCATGACCTGAGCAGAAGTCAGACATTCAACTGACTGAGCCACCCAGGTGTCCCTAAGTAGACAAAAGTCTTTATGGAGAAGTTTATTATTCTTTCTGTACAAAAATCCATTATCTAGCAGGCATGTAGACTTCATCTATCATTCATAGCCTAATTAGGCTATTCCAAGGGTGAAACGTCATTCCTAATGGGAAGAATGATGATGCAAATGTCTATCAAAATAATTTCTAAATATTCATAGATTATTGAGATTTATATGCACCACTTCACATGCATCCCTAAAAAGAGTCATCTGTTAAAAATATCAGGTGATGGGGGTGCCTGGGTGGCTCAGTTGGTTGGGCAGACAACTTTGGTTCAGGTTATGATCTCTCGGTTCATGGGTTCGAGCCCCACGTCGGGCTCTGTGCTGATGGCTAGCTCAGAGCCTGGTGCCTGTTTCGAATTCTGTGTCTCCCTCTCTCTCTGACTCTCCCCTGCTCGCGTGCTCTCTCTCAGAAATTAAAAAAAAAAAAAAAAAATCAGGTGATGAAAAAATGAGAGCTTTGGAATTCAGACTATTTGACAGAAAACAGTCTATCTGTTTTGCATTGGATTTCAAGAAATTTGAAAACAAAACTTATTTTTATTATTTTAAGTAGGTTCTATGCCCAACACATGGCCTGAACTCATGACCCTAAGAGTCACATGGTCTACTGATTAAGTCAGCCAGGCACCCCAACAAAATTTATTTTAAAAACTAAGTGGCTCAGTCGGTTGGGCAGACAACTTCGGCTCAGGTCTGATCTCTTGGTTCATGGGTTCAAGCCCTGCGTCAGGCTCTGTGCCGGACAGACAGGCCAGAGCCTGGAGCCTGTTTCAGATTCTGTATCTCCCTCTCTCTCTGACCCTCCCCTGCTCATGCTGTCTCTCTGTCTCTCTCAGAAAAAAAAAAACAAACAACAACCAAAAAAACAACCAACCAAACAAAAAAAACCCCACCAAAACTAAGTATCTCAGGGGCTTCTGGTGGCTCAGTCAGTTAAGTGACTGACTGGATTTCGGCTCAGGTCATGAGATCAACTCCACACTAGACATGGAACTTGCTTAAGATCCTCTCTCCCTCTGCCCCTCCCCCTGCTCGCTACATGCTCTCTCTCTTAGAAACCAATCAATAAACAGCCCAAAGGGTTATTAAACACTCTTTTAAGATAATCATTAAAAGATTACAAGTGCCATTTCTATTCAAAAGTATGTGTATATACATATATGTACACATATATACAAACACTTCTCTTGCTTTTTCTTGCCTGTTATTATACAAAAGGAAACTATAAACAAACAAAAGTCCCTTTACCAGGAATGAGCACTACAGTTTTATTCAATTTGTTCTGTTAGCCACAAACATTTTATGTAGCTATCGGGTCAAACAAATGATGAGAATGGGTACCAGGAGGATTTCAATATTTTATATTCCAGTCTTCCAAATTCAAAAGGATAATTCTACAAATGAGAATACTGGCAAATTTAGTTATCTACAGATAATCTTCTTAGCAATTACAAAATAATCTCAAAGTGAATTTACAAACGGAAGAAAAAGGGTTAAAGGGGGCCATTATAAAATATAAAATTAGGTGGGCCTAAGGAAAAATAAATAGCATATGTTATTAGGTTCTGATGAAAAGAGACAGATAATTCTGTAATGCATACTTTTCTAATTCATCTAATTAGAAAGTGAAATTTATCTGTACTAGAAATTTATCTGCCTTAAGCACAAAAGGCTAAATTGTTTTATGTGCTAATATTTTTGTTTTCAACACTTTCATTATCTATCTAGCACTGGTAGTACAAAGATAAAAATTCTTTAGCTAAATAAAAAACAAATATTTTAACAGTAGGCTAAAAACCTTTCTAAAGCAGTTTTTCAAAACAAGGATTTTTTTTAAAGAAAGGGTAATTAGAGAGACCTAAATATTTTCACATTATTTTAAAAAGTAGGACATATATACATTTTAAAATGTCAAATAGTAATAATCCTAGCAGCCAACATTTACTGAGCACATACATGTGTTAGGTAATATTCTGAGAATCTTAAAATTATTGCCTCATTTAATCCTCAAAATAACCCCATGAAATAGGTACCATTTATCATCCCATTTTACAGACAAGGAGACTGAGGCATGGAGACATTGACTAATTTACCTACAGTTACATAGCTACTAAGTAGCAGAACAAGGATTAGAACCATTTGATTAAAGTCCCTAGCAAGAGCCAATAAGCTAGCTTTGTCTAAAGAATTCTACCACCATTGAAGAGAACAAAGCAGTTCTCGGTCTTGTCCTTTTCCATTAGAAATTCCTGATATCTGAAGGCAAATAAACTTTTTGCTATTACTTTTGATATTTACCTTCAAAATTCAACAACATAGTTATGTTATTCCTTAATTTTCAATTCTAAATATAATCTAATTTTAAAAAATTTTTTTCAAAATGTTTTATTTCTCAGAGAAAGAGAGAGAGGCAGCATGAGCAGGGGAGGGTCAGAGAGAGAGGGAGACACAGAATCTGAAGCAGGCTCCAGCCTCTGAGCTAGCTGTCAGCACAGAGCCTGATGCAGGGCTCAAACCCACTAACCATATCATGACCTGAGCCGAAGTCGGACACTTAACCGACTGAGCCACCCAGGCACCCCAAATGTAATCTAATTTTCAGTTTTAAATACAATCTAATGAACTGAGTACTGTTGTGGAAGGTGAGGATTTACCTTTTATTTAATTGCCCTACCCTCACTTTGTTTTCCCTAAAGCTCCTATTTTAACAATTTTTGGCTCACTGTTCACTGTTAACATTTTTATAATTATAGATATTACTCACAATTAACCTGGAGTATTTTATTACCTGCCTTTCCTTAAAAAGAACTTTTGCTTGGGGCTCCTGGGTGGCTCAGTTGGTTAAGCATCTGACTTTGGCTCAGGTCATGACTTCACAGTCCGTGGATTTGTGCCCTGTGTCAGGCACTGTACTGACAGCTTAGCTTCTGTCTCCCTCTCTTTTCTCTGCCCTGCTCCCCCTTGCCTCTTTCTCTCTCTCTCTCAAAAATAAACATTAAAAAAATTTAAAAACAAGAAAAGAACTTTTGCTTCCCTTAATTTGCTACTTCATCCCTAACTTCAACAGAAATGTCAATCTCTTTAGATTCATTCAACTACGTAAAAGGGAGCATCAGCTGCATTTTTCTCCTGGAGACAGTCCTCCTGGACTCTTCCATCCTCTTGATCTAACTCCACAATGGCTACTTCTTCCTAAACCATATACAAACTGCTGTTTCTGCAGATGGAATCCTCTGCCTCTCTTCTATACTGGATTTTTTTTTTTTTTTTTTTTTTGGTTCCCATGTTTTTCTCTTTCTTGGTTTAATTCCTTGGTTTGGTAGAACACATCCTCCTTTAACTTCCTGAGAAAAATGCATTGAAAGTAAATTCTCTGAGACTCTGGATGCATGAAGATGTTTTTATATACACTCATGTACTTGACAGTTTTGATACAAAATTCTAAGTTAAAAAATCATTCCCCCCCACCCCCCGAATTTTGATCTCCTAGCTTCAGTGTTGTTCTTTAGAAGTCTGAGGTTATTCTGATTATTTTTTGTATATGGTCGGTCTACTTTTTTTTCCTGGAAGGTTTTAGGAATCTTTATTCCCTTGGGATTTTGAAAATTCTCTTTTGCCTCAGTATTTTTTTTTTTTTTTTAAACTTTCCATGCCTTTAATTTTAAAGACTTGTCTTTTAAGAAAGCATGCTATTCAGTTCTGGCAAGTTTTTTGGTACCATTTCTTCAACAAATTTCTTCCAATTATTTTTTTTTTCAATTTTTAATTCAACTTTTTTGAATTTTAAGTCACTAATTTTTAATCCATGTAGATGCCACGATCATTTTGAGAATACAGACTTCATTTTGTTTTGAAGTTTTTCTTCATCCTGCATGGTTTCTGTTTCCTTGGCATTCGTTTCGACAGTTTTGGTTTTTCCTTAAAAGTCCATCGATCTTTGGTTATCCATTCATACTTAAAAGTGAGGCAGTTTACCCAAAGAATCCTCCAATACACAGTGTCGGGTGGGGGGGAGGGGGGACTGTAGACTCAATCTACTTGTTTTCAGTCCTGCCTCTTACCCCTGGCTGTGCCTAACTGTACTCAAATCCAAAGTACCCCATTCCTCCATCATCCCTTTCAAAAATATCTAAAGTCCCTTTAGTTCAATCTCTCCAGAAGATAAATTTCCAATCTTCTGCCCAGGCCAGAAAGGGGAAGTTGTCAGGCTATTGTAGTGCTAATGAAAATGGGTAAATGGGTTTTTAACTGCTTTTTATAACAGCTATTTATTTTCAGCATTTCCCTAAGCCAAATACATTTTCTAACATTTTTATTCTCAATGCCTGAGCCTCAGTTCAGCAACATAAAAACTGGCTGCCTTCTTGGCTCCTTCCAGCTCATCTTAGTCTATGTTCTGCCAAAGCGAGCACTCCTTCTGGCCCATCTTATGTTGCCGCTTTCTCTGGCTGACCACTCAGTCACTCCTGTTCTGTAGCTTCGAAAAATGGGTTTACTGTTGTCTCCTCTCCCTTCTCTTTATTTTGGTTATGATCTTTTATCTCTTTATTAATGTTTTAAAGGGATTTCAGGAGCAAAAGGCAGTTACTTCCTTATTAACCATTCAAAAAGTAAGTTCTGAGGAAAAATTTAAGACTGTGACAGGTTTCTATATACAGAAGAAAATGCCTACGGAATCTTATTACTACCACCGATACTGCTATAATTCACTTACCGATTTTGTTTGTTAACAGCTGTGTCTGCACCATTTAGAACCAGCTCTTTCACTTCTGTTGCACCAAAGTTTTCAACTGTGATCTATTAATTTAAATTTTTAAAAAAAGTCAATGTCAGACTCAAAACTTAATAGATTTTAATAACCTATTATTATAGTCTACCTTTCTCTGATTAAGTATAAGAATAAAGCTGAGGTAAAATTCTGCTACTACCATAAGCTTAATTAATTTTAAATAAAGCCGCAACGAGAAGTTTTCAACCTCTGTGTGAAATTCTACCATGACTAACTACAAATTACCAAATGTTTGGTTAGTTAAGAACAGGAAACAGAGTATTTATTATATGTAAAACTTTAGAACAATCACTATAGTAGTAAAATATCAGAAAGGAAGTTTTCTTTGCACATGTGACAGAATACAAGTGTCAAAATGTATGCACCCTAGACCTGCCATGCTCTTCTCACGTGACAGTTCCTACTCCTATACTCGGGTCTTGTTTGCATTCTTGACCACAGGTGGTTTTTCCAGTGTGCATGATTTGGTTTATAAAGACAGCTGGTTATTTTGAAGCTTTTTGCTTTCCTAGTCTGCTAATTTTCCAAAAAATATTACCATTCCCACCTTTGAATCTTTTCTCCTTCTATTCCCTCTTTTTGGAATATTATCCTCTTCTATGAAAACATTTTTTTTCTTTTTAGTACCTGCTATCTACAAAACATTTTGGTGGAGTTGAGGTGATAACAGATGAATAAATCCCTGCTGTGGAGTTTATGATCTAGTTGAGGAGAAATGTGTTATATAAGCAACTTCTTAAAATAAATGCTATAATAGAGAAATGAACAAAATGCTATCAAACCACAGAGGAAAGAACACTCACTTCTAACTGAAGAAAGTATGAAAGACCTTGAGGAAGAAATGTCCTTTGAAAAGCCCCAAAAGGATGAGTAGGGCTCTCAATGACTGAGAGGGGATGGAATTTCTGATTGAGCACAGGGATTGGACAGGACAGATATGAGAGTAAATATCAAATTCTGAAAACGTATGGCCCTAAAAAATAGGAAGATAAGGTACGTAAGAGAATACTGTGTGACATGATAAAACCTGGTATTAATGGAGGGATATGTAAGTGAGAAAGAAAGCCAGGTTATAAATGTCTTTGAAGCCCATTCTAAGGCCATTATTATGCAAGCAATAAAAAAGTCATTGAAAATTTCTGGAAAAGAAATGGCAGTGGTAAGGAATGTTTAAATTACCATAGTTCTTGAATATACTAAGCATTCACAAACTTGGTATTGATAAATGAGAAATTATATTGCTTGGAACCCAAGGTTTCAGTCCATTGAGATAATCAATAAAAATTCAAAGATAATTGATACTGTTATAAATCAAATAGAATTGAAGAATCAAACCATTGGGAAACCAACCATTCAACCATTATTTATTAAAATAAATTCATTTATTTCATCTTCACCAAATTTTCTTACAACTGTCCTATGTGCCAATTCTTAAAATGATCAAAAAATGGATAAACTTTTTGAGGGAGCACATAATTTTTTTTGAAAATTATGGGAAAATATGGTATCTGTGAGATTTGACAAGATCATAAAGAGAACTATTTGGGGGCGGAAACAAATACATAAACTTTTTAAAAAGAAAAAGAAAGAGAAAAGACCCAAAGGTTTTACCATTTTCCCAAGAGTTTAATTTATAACATTTAAACCATTCCATTCTGGAGTGCTTTCTCATAATCCTTGCTGATTTTCTCATCTTTAAATGTCAACTGGTCTACTTCTGCCAGATCCTTGTTTGTCAAGGGCTTTGCACGTAGATGGATAAGTTATTCAACATCTCTTTCGCTAAATTAACAAAATTCTGTGTCTTTGGCAAGATTTGCAATTTCATTTTTCAAGTAACATTACAATGTATTTGCATTTGCACTGTGGTATGTCATTCAACAGTAAGATAACTGAGCAAGAACAAATATTAGTGTGGAGCAGAAAGGGATGTCTGAGTAGGAATTAGTCTTTTAAGTGGTAAGTTCATTAGTGAATTTTCTAATGTATGATAACTTTTGCTTCTCTAAAGATTCTTGTAATTAACTACAGACTCAAAAATGAACACTTGAATAAAGAGTTCCTTTTATATTTGTAAAGATCTTTAACATAATGATAAAGCACTAGGCTCTGAAGTCAGACCTAGGTATAAAAATTATTTCTGACATGTAAGGACTGTTTTCAGTTTTCTTCATCTGTAAAATAAGGATAATAGTACCAATCTCATAGGACTGTTATGAGGATTAAATGAAATAATGTACATATTGTGAATAGAAAAGTTAATGCTCAATAAATGTTAGCTAAAGGGTTAAAAATTCCACTCGTCAAAAAAAACAAAAACAAAACCAAAACCATAAAGCAGGGATGATGAATAATCAGGTTATACTAGGTCTTTCCATCTTACCGTAAAATTAAGACAAAATGTTTCCTCGACATCATCTTCTGGATAATCCAATAACTGTTGCATGCTTCTGCAAACAATATACATTTTTCTTTGAGGTAAAACATTATTGGGTATTTTTACTATTTTGCTTATGAATATATATTTCTCATTCATTCTTGATAGAATCCTTTTATTAATCTGTACTGTAGGTTTCAGAATGGTAGATGTATAATAGCAAGCTAATGAACAATTGTGAAGGAAAAAAACTCACTCTAAGGTTTTTATCTCTTCTAAATACAAAGGCCATGTACCCACCCATTTTTAACATTTGTTCTTACTCATATACAATTTTTATTCTATTTTATGTAATAAATAAGAAGAAACTTTATATATTCCAGCTAGGAATGAAAGTAATCAAAAGTCCAAGTTAATCATTTAACCATTCTCAGGAAACATTACCTTCCTAAGTTTGTTATCTGATATTTGTAAAATATTGTTAAGTTACTCAAAATTTAGCAAATGGTTTTATACACAGAAGTCTTTCAGTACAAAAATTTGATCTGGGTAATAGAATGAGTTCTCCAAAATGAGAAGGGCTTTCGTTTATTTTGGAAAACCAACAAGCACAAAATACAATTATTTCTAAAAGGAATCATTTTAGAAATTATTATTTAGAAAATTCTAAAATTTTCCTTCTAAAAGGAAAGCTTTCTGTACATTTCCCATGCTCTATTACCTAAACCCCACCCTTCTCACTTTTTACCACTAACCTCCCAACATCAGGCACTAGTTCCTTCAAATCATCCAAGGATGGCTTCTTTTTCAGCAGTTTCTTATATAAAGCCAAAGGAAAATGGAGGTCCACAATAGTAAAATTATAAATTGCTAATCCACAAATAACACCAATCAAATGGAACAAATCACTGTCTTCAAATGTCTAAAAATAAAAGAAAAAAAAAAGTAAAGACCATTTCCAAGTTAAAATGTTACATTATTTCTGATGACAAAAACATATACTTGTAGTAGAAAATTTTGAAGACACAGAAAAAAGTAATGAATAACAAGAAAAAGCTCATTTGCAATCCTATCTCCCTGGGATAATATCAGTGTTAGTATTTCTACACATTTCCATCGATATATTTTCTAAGACAAAACGAAGACCTTGCTAAAATCACAACTGGTTTTTTTTCCCCCAGAAATATGAGCATTTCTACATCATTAAGCATTAAATTAATAAATGATTACTAGGACATTTAATCTGATTTAAATAATTATACACATTCAAAACTTGGAAGATTTAAAAAGCATAAAGAAAATGAATAAATGCCTGTAATCCAATCACTCAGAAACAATGATTAAAAAAATATTTTGACGTATTGTAAGTTCAAAAAAAGATTTAAAAACATCATACTTAAGGTTTTCTCATTTTTCTAATCAAAAAAGTGGAACAGTAGCTTAGGAGAAAAGCCAATGGAAAACAAGCTAATTTGTGCTTCAGACTCAAGGATTGGAAGTACCAAAAATACTTTTAAAGTCAAGTAGGCCCAGTTAGCTCAATTAGTAAAACAACATTCTGAAAATCAGAGGTACTAACTAGAATAGTGTTGAAAACAGGATATGTGGTGAGAAGTCCCTTGCCTTTCTAGAAAGAATAAGCCAAAGTGGCTCTGGAATCTGAAACAGATGATGCATTAAAAACAAAGGGATCAAAGGGTTCAAGGGGATCAAGGGGTACAAACCTCCAGTTACATAATAAATAAGTTGTACGGATATAAAGTAGAGCATAGGGAATGTAGTCAATAATATTTTAATAGCTTTGTATGGTGACAGAGTAACTAACTACACTTTGAGTACTGTACATATACTATGAACACTATGTGTACTATGAATCGCTATGTTACACACCTGAAACTAATATATATTATATTGAATGTCAACCCTACTTCAACTAAAAATGTAATTTAAAAAGTTAAAACAGGGGTTCCTGGGTGGCTCAGCTGATTAAGCCTCTGACTTCAGCTCAGGTTATGATCTTGCAGTTCATGGGTTCGATTGCTGGGTTGGGCTCTCTGCTGACAGCTCAGAGCCTGCAGCCTGCTTCAGATTTTCTGTCTCCCTTACTCTCTGTCCCTCTCCTGCTCATGCTGTTTCTCCAAGATAAACATTAAAAAAATTAAAAAAAAAAAAAAAAACAAAGTTAAAACACAGAATGTACATACAAAGAAACAAGTGGATCAAATGATGGTACGCATAGTTAACAATGAATGAGAATCCTAACTTCCCTTTCCAGTGTGCAGAACACTACTAGAACACTGGCAGCCAAAGAGTAAAAAAACATAGAGTTAAAAACCTATATATGTTGACATTTGATGGTTCGTCCTTGAAATGCCTTTACCTAATTACTCTATGAGCGGGGACTGTAAATCATGTGTATGTCCAAATGACATAGCTTTTCAGTGTCACGTTTTTAACAGTGAATAAAAAGCCAAGGATCACAAGAAAAAGACAGGAAATAACTGTCTGGTATTCAAAAGTGTCCAGAATTTAACAAAAATCTATGAGACATTAAAAAAAGGAATATGGCCCATTCACAAGAAAAAAAATACATATATAAATTGTTGACAAACACCCAGACACTGGATTTACTAGACAAAGACTTTAAATCAACAGTCCTAAATATGCTCAAATCGCTAAAGGAAAAGAGAAGAGAAGAATAATGTCTCCTCAAATAGAGACTATCAGTAAAGAGATAGAAATTATGGAAAGGAACCAACTACAAATTGTGGAGCTGAAAAGTACAATAACTGAAACAAAAAGTTCACTGCAGGGGTACAAGAAATTTGAACAGGCAGAAGAAAGAAACCATGAACTTGAAGATGGGTCAACTGAAATCTACTTTGTGGAACAGCAAGAAAAAAGAATGAAGAAATATGAACAGAGTCTAACAGACTTATGGGACACCATCAAGTGTAACATCATATAAACAGGAGAGTCCCACAAGGAAAGGAGAGAATAAGGCAGAAAGAATATTTGAAGAAATGGCTGAAAACTTCTTAAATTTGATAAAAGACATAAATCTAACATCCAAGTAGCTCAACAAACTTCATTTATGACAAATTCAAGATCCACATCCAGACATGTTTTAATCTAAGCGATAAAAAGTCAATTACAAAAAGAGTCTTGAAAACAGCAAAAGAGAAGCAACTCATGACATAGCAGAGCTCCTCAATAGGATTAATCACTGATTTCCAATCGGAAACCATGCATGTCAGAGAGGGTGGAATAACACACTTAAATAGCTGAAAGAAAACTGTCAAGCAAGAATTCTACATTCAGGAAATTTCAGATAAAGAAAATCTGAGACAGTTCGTTGTTACTAGACCTTCCTTATAAGAAATGCTAAAGTCTATTAGACTGAAAGGAAGGGATGCTACACAGTAACTCAAAGCCATACAAAGAAAAGAACTCTGCTAAAGATAACTACACAAGTACATATAAAAGTTAAAATTATTATATTTTTGACTCATAACTCCTTTTTTTCTCTATATGGTTTAAAATTCAAATGTGTAAAATAACTATAAATCTACATTAATGGGCATACAATGTATAAAAGTTGTAAGGTGTGACAATAACAAAAAGAAAAGGACAGAGCTGTTTCAGGAACAGTTTCTGCACGTTATGGAAGCTGGTATTAATTCAACTAGATTTTTAAAAATTTAAGGTGTTAATTGTAACCCTCAGAGCAAGTACTAAAGAAAAATATATAGATATATATATAGAGAGAGAGAAAGGGAAATGAGAAAAGAATCAAAATAACACACTAGACAAAAAAACAATTAAATTTCTTTAAAAAGGCAGTAATGGAGTAAGTGAAGAATAAGAGAGATAAAGATTTACAGGAAACAAACAGTAAAATGGCAGAAGTGCTTCCTTATTAGTAATAGCTTTAAGTGTAAATGAATTAAATTCTGCAATCAAAAGGCAGAAACTAGCAGAAAAGATCTTAAGAAACCATTTTTCAACTACAACCAGTCCCTAATTTACAATGGTTCAACTTCCGATTTTTTTATTTTACAATGCTGCAAAAGCGATATTACACCAGCAGAAACCATACTTCACATTTTAGATTTTGCTCTTTTCCTGGGACAGCAATATACAGTATGTGCTGAGCAGCAACAGTAAGCCACAGCTTCCAGATAGTCATGCAATCATGAGGGTAAACCACCAATACACTTATAACCATTGTGCCCATACAACAATTCTATTCTCCATTTTCAGTACAATAATCAATAAATTAGGTGTGATATTCAACATTTGGTTAAAAAATGGGTTTAAGATGATTTTGCCCAACTACAGGCTGTTCTGAGCATGTTTAGTGTAGGATAGGCTAAGGTCTAATGTTCAGCAGATTAGGTGTAGTCAATGCATGTTTGATTTTAAAATTTCCAATTTACAGTGGGTTTATTAAAACATGACATCATAGTAAGTCTAGGAAGATGTGTATATGCTGTCTACAAGCCTCACTTTAAAGTCAGACACTAGAGGCCCGCTCAGCGCTTTGGGAGCAGGGCCGCCACTCTGCACGCAGCCCGGGAGCACCGCAGCCGTTGGACCCTCGTCTGCCGCACAGAGCCCCTCAGCAATGGCCTGCATTTGGGTTGCCTCAAGAAACAAGCCAAACTACACATGGTGGAGACTCCCAAATATGAGTAGGAAAACAAAATAACCAAACACTCAACAAGAGAAACCAAGAGACACCATTCAAAGAACAATTCCTGGACAGATCCTGAACAGTCAAAGAGCCTTCTCTAATACAGCAGAACTCGCAGGGGCAGAGTGTACAATTAGCTTTTAAAATTAACAAGAGACAGAAAGCTAACCAAAATGACGAAATGGAAGAACTCTCCTCCAAAGAAATTCCAGGAAGAAAAGCTGGAGTAGCTATACTTATCTCAGACAAACTGAACTTTAAATTAAAGAGAGTAACAAGGGATGAAGAAGGGCATTATATAATAATTACAGGCTCTATCCATCAGGAAGAACTAACAATTATAAATGTCTACACACCAAATATGGGAGCACCTAAATATATAAAACAATTAATCACAAACAGAAACACTCTTGTGGATAAGAATGTGCTAATAGCAGGGGACTTTACTACTCAACAGCAATGGATAGATCAACCAGACGGAAAATCACTAAAGAAACAATGGACTTGTATGACACATTGGACCACATGGATCTGACAGATATATTTATGGAATTCACTTTCTTCTCAAGTACGCATGGCTCATTCTCCAAGATAGATCACACACTGGGACATAAAGCAGCCCTCAATAAATAGAAAAGAACTGAGATCATACCATGCACACTTTCAGATCACAATGCTATGAAACTTGAAATCAATCACAGGAAGAAGCCTGGAAAACCTCCAAAAACATGGAGGTTAAAGAACACCCTACTAAAGAAAGAATGGGCCAATGAGGCAATTAGAGAAGAAATTTAAAAATATATGGAAACAAATGAAAATGAAAATACAACAATCCAAACTCTATAGGATGCGGCAAAGGCAGTCCTAAGAGGAAAGTACATTGAATTCCAGGCCTATTTCAAGAAATTAGAAAAAGTGTAAGTGCAAAATCTAACAGCTCACCTAAAGGAATGAGAGAGAGCAACAAGAGCACCCAAACCCAGTAGGAGAAGAGAAACAGTAAAAATCAGAGCAGAAATAAACAACAAAGAAACCAAAGAAACAGTTGAATAGATCAATGAAACCAAGAGTTGGTTTTTTGAAAAATAAACAAAATTGACAGGCTTCTCAAAAAGAAAAGAGAGAGCACTCAAATAGACAAAATCATGAATGAAAATGGACTTATTACAACCAACCCCTCAGAAATACAAGCAATTATCAGGGAATACTATGAAAAATTATATGCC